AGTTTCTATAATCGCAACAATGTATAACTCCAGCTCTGAGATCCTGGCCGGCTGAAAGCAGGTTTCTGAGGTTTTGTTTAGTTTCTATATTTGTTACAATGTTTCTTAAACTGCAGGCTCAGAGGCCGGCAAGGCAGGCAGGGAACGTTGGAGTCCTCCGTCACTGAAGCAAGCAAGCCTCATGTTAGTTTCAAGCTGACTGGCTGCCGGCGGCCATCTTGGCTGGCAGTTAATTTGCATATCACCCTGATTAGCCAATGGGAAGGGTAGCGGTCGTATGCCAATTACCATGTTTCTCTTTTATTAGAAAGGATTTTTTGCTTCATCAAAATTATTATTTTATTAAAATCTTGCAAGATAATTGCATAGTCATTGAAAAATATTTGAAAAGCCTCCAAAATAATAACATCTCTGCTCTCCGAAGATTAATTTAATGTATGTGCTATGGGAAGTTTGGGACAAGAGGAAAATATTGATCTATATAAAGGTTAACATTCAGAATAGTGATGTTTGTATAACAATAAGTGATGCTTTGTCAAATATATTTTAAAATATATTTTTATTGATTTCAGAGGGGAAGGGAGAGGGAGAGAGAGAGAGAAACATCAGTGATGAGAGAGAATCATTGATCGGCTGCCTCCTACACACCCCACACTGGGGATCAAGACCCAAACCAGGCATGTGCCACCTGGTCCATAGGTCAACACTCAACCACTGAGCCACACTAGCCAGGCCTTTGTCAAATATTAATTGACCATAATGGCATGGGTCGATTTCTGGGGTATCTGTTCTGTCCCATTGTTCTACATGTCTGTTCTTTTGCCAATACCAGACTGTTTTGATCACAGTGCCGTTATAGTATAGTTTGATATCCAGTATAGTGATTCCTCCAACTTTGTTCTTATTTCTCAAGATTGCTGTGGCTATTTGAGGTCGTTTTGGGTTCCATATACATTTTTGGAATATTTGTCCTAGATCTGTGAAATGTGTTGTTGGTATTTTAATTGGGATTGCAATTGAATCTATAGATTGCTTTGTGTATTATGGATATTTTAATGATGTTAATACTTTAAATCTGTGACAATTATATACATTTCCATTTGTTTGTATCTTCCTCTATGCTTTTTTCAATGTCCTATAATT